CAGTTTTTTAACCCTCTGACAACATTTACTGAAAATATTCATAACTGAAAATACTCATTTCAACTCTTAGTTGAAATGAATAAATTATGAATGCTGCTGAAAGCCGACGCCATCTGAAATAACCTCCTTCTTGAATCTTTTAAGAAATCGAATTTACCAAAAACTCGTCTAAAAGTGGCCTAATGCAAACAGCGGAAATTCTGATGCTTTTTGAGCACTTCCCTTTATAATTTCCTCAAAAAGGATGAACGCCTGGGATGCTTTTCTTCGCGTAACCATATCAACTTATCTCCTTTTGCCGCATCCCTCACCTCCCTCAAAAAGCTTATCGGTTAAACAGCTTCTGAGAAAGGCAGGTGTAAAGAAGGGGTTAGTAGCTCTTTAAGTCTGAAAATCTAAGTTATTTTCCAAAGAATTATTTCAATATTCTGTGTTGAAAAAAAAAAAAACGCTTCATTGCTATCGTGAATTGAAACTTGTGCTTTCTACTCTGCAATCAAGAGGTTATACAAGTCCTTATTTCGCTGCTTTGCATTTCAACGATCATTGATAAAAACTAAGAAGAGTTTCCCGTAAAAGCCAACTCTCCTAGACACGTTCACTCGTTTCCCTTAGGTGTTCGTTGTAAGCGATACTAACAAATATAATCGACTGATTCCAATGTGTGATGATGTCTTCTATCCGGATGTACAGTCAGAAAAAATTCGAAACAAGAATCACTTCAAACATGCTTGATTTATCATTGTTGTTTGTCTTTCATTTGGATGCCGCCACCAATGCACGAGAGTGATTAGTAAAATTTGTTATGTATCGCCGCCTTTGCAATCTTATCCTTTCGACACAATAGTTTTGGAAAACAATCGAAACATATCATTATTTTAACTTAGTAAAATAGTTACGAGATGTAAATCAGAACGAGGTTTATTACAAACAGAAGAGAATCCTTCTTAAAAAATATGTCTTTGGCGATCTGTGTTTTTTGAACAGATCTTTTATTTTAAAATATAAGACTGAACTAACCTGAATTAGTTGTCTTGAGAGCAATCTGTCTGATCTGCATTCACTGATATAAATATGTTATGTTAATCAAGTGATATCGCGAGTGCAGCCAAAACGTTCTTAATTTGATAACACCATCCTTGTCCTAAAATTGAAAGTACCACACGGAAAAACAAAAACATTCAAACCTCTCCGATACACACAACACAGACACATCTCTTAGTTAACCTTGTTAAGAGTTTAAAGGAAAGGCTATTTGATCGCTTAACAATGAAGTATCTGCATGTACCTTCTCGGCTTTTCAGTCTCAATTTTCTTTAAATTTCTTTCCTTTTTGAATTATTCCTTTTATTTTGGATTACTTGGTAAACTTAAGGAATAATATGGGGTGCACCTGCAAAACAATTAGGGTCACTTTGTTTTTTTAATTTTTTTTCCTCTTTTTTTTTCCTTTTTAATTATTGTGGCTCCGGCCTTTTAATTTAGACTACTTGGTACACTTGAGAAATAATATTGGGTGCACCTGCAAATTAATTAAGGTTGCTTGTTTTTTTTTTTTATGTTGTAATATTCACGTTTTGTTAGTACCCTTATTCTGCAAGCCCGCAACAAAGCATTCCTTGAAATGTTTCCTTTAACCACGATTCATTGTAACGAATGCAAACCTCTGTTTCCGCTCGTAAAGTGAATATTGGATATCTCGACGTCACTTTGTTTACGTTCCGAATTAAAATCTGACATAACTTACCGCGCTTTGGTTATCTAAAAAATGCACCAATGACAAAGAAAAACAACAACACTTGGCGGATGTCCGCCGCCAATCTCTAAAGACTCCACAGAAAATATGTTTTCAGAAAGGACAGTTTTAATTCTGGCATAACCTCCGGAGAGCCTAGTTGAGCGCCCTTAGGGCTTTATTTTTTTTTTACTTGGAAATCCTTTTAAAGTGAATAAATTTGATGACAATTTCACCAAGAGACAAACAAGATGATAATTAAAATACATTTTTTTAAACTTTACTTTGTGAAAATAACACCGAGAACCAGCTTATGAATGCTCCACAAGTCGATAGCTTTACAAGGAAACCAACAAGCAATTGATATTTACTAATAGTTCATTTGCGTTTTAAGAGATTCCCTCTGGGAGAAAGAAATCCAAAGTGATTTGTATGTCTTCTTTTATGGCCTTCGATGCACATTTCAAGATTATGATCATGATGATACAATTATTTTTGTTCTTATTTTTTATCCTTATCATCTATCTCTACTCATCCAGCTAGTTGCAGGATGGGAATCCATTTAAGTACTTAAGGTCTTGTTGTTGCTTAAGTAAATATACTTATCACGAGCGCTTTAATCTGATATCTTCAATCATATGCACCTGTCGCTGAATCTTGGCAGCTTCCTTTCTTATAAGCATAGTGATAATTCGTACGAAAGCTATGAACCTGTAAGTGTCTTATCATGGATAAAGATCTAGGAAAACAGAATGGTTTTATTTACAATAAACTAATGTGCCAGTTTTACGACTTTTACTTTCTTAGGTCTCCGACTTTGTGCGTGGGGCTTACAATGGTATGCATACACGCAACAAATATTGTTTCTATTCCAGGGAATCGCTAGGATGAATCGAGGGATTTTCATTCAAAAATGGCTTCACCATAATGGTCACATCTACAGTTTTGTTCATTTTCAAGCGACGTTCAAATAATGGTTGTGACCTTATGAAGCTGACGTGAGAGCCACAAAACCGATTTTGCCGCCGTTCGCGAAAAATAAAAATGCAATTGAACTCAAAGTATTTTTTCTAGAAATAGTTCATCTAGACCTATATTCTGGAAAAGTTTGGGGATTTTCGACTTTTTTATATTGCACACCTCCGGGCGATATTTACGGACGGCCGCTCTTAATTCGATAACACAATTCTTGTCCTAATATTGAAAGTATCACACGGAAAAACAAAAACGTTCTAACCTCTCCGATGCACACAACACAGACACATCCCTTAGTTAACCTTGTAAAGAGTTTAAAGGAAAGGTGATTTGATCGCTTAAGAATGAAGTACCTGCATGTACCTTCTCGGCTTTTCAGTATCAATGTTCTTTTCTTTCCTTTTTTAATTATTTGAGCTCACCTTTTATTTTGGATTAATTGGTAAACTTAAGGAATGATATGGGGTGCGCCTGCAAAACAATTAGGGTCGCTTTGTTTTTTTTTTCATGTTTTTTCTCTTTTTTTTTTTCTTTTTAATTATTGTGGCTCCGCCTTTTAATTTAGACTACTTGGTAAACTTGAGAAATAATATTGGGTGCACCCGCAAATTAATTAAGGTTGCTTGTTTTTTATTTTTTTTATGTTATAATATTCACGTTTTGTTAGTAACATTATTCTGCAAGCCCGCAACAAAGCATTCCTTGAAATGTTGCCTTAAATCACGATTCATTGTAACGAATGTAAACCTATGTTTCTGCTCGTAGTGTGAATATTGGATGTCTCGACGTCACTTTGTTTAAGTTACGAATTAAAATCTGTCATAACTTACCGCGCTTTGGTTATCTGAAAAACACAAGTTCAAAGTCTTTAGAGAACACAAGTTCAAGAGAACACAAGTTCAAATCTTTAGAGATTGGCGGTCGTCCGCCGCCAATCTCTAAAGACTCCACAGACAATATGTTTTCGGAAAGGACAGTTTTAATTCTGGCGTCACCTCCGGAGAGCCTAGTTGAGCCCCCTTAGGGCTTTATTCTTTTTTTTAACTTGGAATTCCTTTTATATTGAGTAAATTTGATAGCAATTTCACTAAGAGACAAGCAAGATGATAATTAAAATACATTTTTTTTAAACTTTACTTTGTGAAAATAACACCGAGAACCAGCTTATGAATGCTCCAAAAGTCGATAGCCTTACAAGGAAACCAACAAGCAATTGATATTTATTAATAGTTCATTTGCGTTTTAAGAGATTCCCTCTGGGAGAAAGAAATCCAAAGTGATTTGTATATCTTCTTTGATGGCCTTCGATGCACATCTCAATATTATGATCAGGATGATGCAAGTATTTCGTTTTTTTTTTTTATGTTTATCATCTATCTCTACTCATCCAGCTAGCTACAGGATGGGGATGCATTTAAGAACTTAAGAGCTTATTGTTGCTTAAGTAAATGTACTTATCACGAGCTCCTGAATCTGAGATCTTCTATCATATGCACCTGTCGCTGAATCTTGGCAGCTTCCTTTCTTAAATGCATGGTGATAATTATTACGAAAGCTATGAACCTGTCAGTGTCTTATCATGGATAAAGATACCGGAAAATAAAATAGTTTTATTTACAATAAACAAATGTGCCAGTTTTACGATTTTTACTTTCTTAGGTCTCCGACTTTGTGCGTGGGGCTTTCAATGGTATCCATACACACAACAAATTGTTTCTATTCGACTGAATCGCTAGGATGAATCGAGGGATTTTCATTCAAAAATGGCTTCAACGTCCAAAGTTTCTGTCACAGTGTTTGAACAAATGATGAGCAAATTATGACTAAGGGTGAATCGTTCTTCTAGCAGACAGCATTCGCCTTTGAGAGATTTTCATAATGAAAGTATGATGTAAATTCCTCTTTTTACAGTAGTGCCACAAATTTCATCGGCGGAGTTAACCCAAGAAAACACAAGCAGATCAATTGTAATGGTGGTCGACCAACAGCAACCATAAGATAATGGAGAGCGAATATTTTCTGTTTTTGAGGAACCGAATCTTGATAAAACGGTTTACCACGTGAAAAGTACCGTTTTTCGCAGCTCGAGTTAAAAGTCAAATACAGCATGGTGTGCTTGTATTCGACAACCAGGACAAACAACTCAGTAACCAAAATGTGACAAGAAATTTCTCTGAAACTGCGCTATAACACTGGCGACTAATAAGTATGATGCACGATCCTCGCAGTAGAGACTAAATAAGCGGTCACATACATATTATCACACTTGACGCACAAAACACTCACTCACCTGACTTTCCCATCTAACGGGCAACTTTCGGCGATGAAAAAGGAAATCTGATGAAATCAAGCGCAGTGCATAACAAGAAAATTGGTAATTTTGCAAAATCTGAGGGTAAGCCGAACTTGCTAATCTATGAATAAAAAAAACCTTATAGATTAGCATAGAGACGTCAATTCAAATGTAGATGTAACTGACACCAATGCTATTACTGTGGCTCATCCTCATTCGATGTAAACGGTCGCGCGCTGAATCTGTTGCCTCTCTACGTTGGCAGAAAGAGATTTTATCTGGGAAATTTATGAATTGACAGATTCGTCGACGTCTAAAAAATAGTGTGATGTAACCTTGCATCCTGCAATTTTTATTCTAAATCTATTCCTTAATTTGGGTTTATTTTTTTAATTGACGATTTTCTTAGTAGGATTAATTAAATTTGTGAATAATTTGTCATTTTGCCATGTTTCATTGTTTGAAAAACTATCATATCTTTGTCCTCTTAAAATGTATGTAAAAAGTGGGCGTCAGAAATGGCACGTACGCGACAGATTTATCATTAAATTAAATCATTTATTGCTTCACTCAAGTGCCCTAACCCCATTTTCTTGAAAAAACTCTCAACTAGCTCACCAACTGAGGACACTAAAGAAGTATTTTATTTTTCAGTTTCATCGTAATTTAACACACTATGGATTACGACGACAGAATGATTTATATACAGGAAACTATGGTGGCCAATTCTGTCCTCCGTAAGTGTTGAAGTACAAAGTAGTGGATTCTAAAACGCCTTTTCGTATTGATGGAAATCTGAAAAAGCGGGCGTCAACTCAGAAAAGTGTCTTTGGGCTACTTACTTACTGGCCAAAACGCACTCCAGTCAAAGTTACTGAGAATACTAATAAAATGACATTACTTTTAAGTCCCATCACAATTCAACCCACGCTTAACAACAACGAAAGTCTGTTTTATCAATACAGCATTGAGACTGCCATTCCTGTTGATTCTAAACTTGCTAGAGCGTACGCAGGTGGATACTAAAATGTTTTTTTTTCTACTGCTGGATATCCTTTTCCTATGTCTAAATACTTTTGAAAATCCAAGAAAATTGTTTGAGGCCTGGAAAATTTTTATCCTCAGATTTGAGTTAAAATACTGCTGAACCGCTTTTCGGATTTGGTTATCGATAGCGTTGAACTGCTGCATGCTCCTGAAGAATTGGTCACAGGTGGCGAGTTGTTAGGAAGTGCAATCTCACCAGGTTCGCTTAGAGTAAGATCCTCGTTGGCAGAAAAGGAGAAGCAACACATTATTCCCCTAAGCTTCTGCCTGAATCGTTGATTGAGCAACGAGTAAACAAACGGGTTGATAGCAGAATTGAACATAAACAAAGTGTCAGCAATGATGTACGAAGCGGAACCAAACATGGAGATGTCGTAGTAACTCAAGACATAAATCAATAAGCCAGTTATCCAACAGATTCCAAAGATGTCACTGACAGTAATCACGCTCAAGGTGGCTCGTTTTCTCACCTTAATTACTCCCTAAAAATAAAATGGGGTTGGTAGTGAGAAACATTTTCATATAATGAAGAGACAATTAGTTGATTCTAACTTCTTTAGTAACCCAGCGTGAGGGCCGTACCGGGGAATATCGGCCTGAAGTCCTGGCAATACGAAAACAATGGACGAAAACGACTGAAGGCCAATGTTCCCTAGAATGGCTCCAGCCGCGGTTTGGAATTTTTGCCGCACACACGGCTTATGAACGTTTCCGTGGAAACAGTCCTCGTGACAAAGTACGGAACAAGTAAGAACCAATCAGAAGGCTCGAATTTACCTCAGGGATAACCCTCCAAATATCTTTATAATCTTTCATATTCCCCCTTTCTTTTAAAGATTTCTTTCGAGAAGTTTGATATCAGTAGTTTAGTTCTACATGGGATCCACCAGAATTAAACAGTTGGCACTAGTAATCTGGATCACGCGGAAGATATTACTTTGAGTACCGAGGACCTTGTGTAGTGTTTTTGTGTAGGACCATGTCTAAGACCTCTTTCAAGAAAATTTAAGGAATGTTTTCCAGTTATCGGCGATTGGCTTGCAACAGCAATGTTTCTTATCCGGTCGTTGGTGAAATGGAAAACTAGAATGGTTCCAGCAGCGTGCGTGGGATCCACGAAGGTAATGTCCAGACCTGTGCTGTCCTTCAACTTCCGATGTCTCGTTTATCTCTTTGGCGGGTATCAGCAACGTCTGCTAGGAACTTGATGGTAGGGCAACAGTCTCTTTTAATCTTATGGGAATATTGTGTAACAGTCAACTAAGGAGAACGTATTTATGTTAGATTCTAGGGGCTTATAATGATTATAATAGATTGCAGCTACCGTAGGTGACGTCGCCCTACCAGGAACCCCATTTCCTATAGTTATTAAGAGCTCATTACAGTTTACTGGATGGCTTCAAATGCATTAAGAAAATCGAAGGGCGTTTTATCCTCCTCCCTTTCGCTAAAGCTATTTAAACAAGGTTAACCCCTCCTACCTTTTGTCGGCAGGTTTGACCATTTTCCTCATTTCGTTGAAACCATAATTTATACACAACCCTTGAGTATAAACCTGTCATTATTGTTAAAGGAATACAGGCCAACAGTACAAGCCACGTGGTCTCATTTGCCGCACCCATCCACTGTTCAGGCCAATCCCACTTGCATTCGCCAGTCGTTTCATCGAATATCGTCACCGAGATCAGTGGTGAATTTAAAGCCACTGCAAAGATCCAACATCCAAGAATGATTACCTGGATTGAAAGAACACCACTTCAGAAAATATATAATTTAACCACACTTTGTCATTATTGAATGAAATAGTTGGTTTTGATCCGTTTCAAGTGAAATGGGGAAAAAAGCATGGAAATGCCAGCGATAAGATCTAGTGCTGAACAAGCTTGTTGCGGGGTTTTAAACGATTTGGTTTGGAACAACATTAACTTCATTAAACGTGTCACCTATTGTATCCTCTAGATGGTTGTCTGTGACACCCAGGAAATTTCTGATCTGATTCCTCACCTTACCTTCACTTTTTGTTTGGAAAGTTTTCTTTGGGTACCAATGGGACGCGCCACGGCAAAGTAACGTTCAACTGCTATAGCAACCAGTGTTACAGCCGAAGCCGCTGCTCCTATCCATGCAACGTTTCCATATGTGAGCACTTTACATAACACTGATCCAACAGTTCCATTCGGGTGGGTGAAGGCTTTTTTCAGAATATGGTTTGGAGCTTGAAAACAGGCAAACATGATGTCTGAAATGGCGAGGTTGGCAAGGAGGTAGTTCATGGGAGTCCTGTGGAATTCATTCGCCATTAGTATTCAACCGCATATATCAGCCTGAATTTAATTAGTGTTTCATTTGTTTAAAGGGGGTAAGTTTATAAACAAAACTGAGGAGCTGCGTCTGCGGGGGAGTATGAAGAGATCATTTGGTTTCATCAACTGATTTGGCCGTAACTAAGATTTTGTAAGCTGACATTTCGTGCGTGAGCCCTTGGTCAGAGTCATTTTGTTTGTTTGTTTCGTTTTCAGAGGCGCGCGAACATATTGGAATAACCCGCTTTTGGACATCAGAGAGTAGTTTTGCTCACCTGATCTCAATTCAAGACGAAATTAAAGTTGCACATCTCTACCGAGTGGGTAAGACATGGAGAGACAAAAGAGATTTGGGTATAGTTGCTAATGCGTGTAGTACCGTGACGTCAAGTTTATTCATCAAGGAATTTACTTGAAATAAATTCCCTGGTGAAAAGGAATTTCTCATTGCTGAAGACCTAACCTCACCCAGTGTTCTTCTATCTTTTCCGGCAATATCATTCCCTTCGTGGAAGGATAAAAACATTACTATGAATCCGGCTTTTTTATCTTTTCAAGAGAACTGGGTTTCATGGAGGGCTAAAGGCAGTAAACAGACTTGAAAAGTGGTAAATATCAGAATTTCAAGCAAACGTAGTTTGTATCTGTATCAAGATAATTGTATCCTTTTACCTTTAGTAGTAGTGCCTAATTAATTGTTAAGGATGTTTCGTCAGAAACGTTGGAACGGTTAGTTTTAAAACAAACCGTTCATAGAATAGTAAAATCTATCTTCTGCAATCAATAAAAATGGTGGTTATGACTTCAAGATTGTTAAATTTCCCAGTGTTACCAGTGGTCTGAAGTTGCTAAACGTACCTCATTTCAGAATTCCTTTTAATGATGAAACAAACAAGAAAGTTTCCAATGATATCCACGACGGCGAGGAGCGTCAGTATAATTGTGACAGCAACGTCAGCTGATTCAGACATGATGGAAAGTCACTCAGGTTCTTCAACACCTTTTCAGAACCTTTTGAAGAAGAATGCGTAAGAGAGTCTGTGAGTTTCTGACGAGAACTAACAACTCTGGTACGAACTTCCTCTGCGGAATTCCTGATCCAAATGGACACTTAGGATCCGGAATCGAAGACAATCGGTATGCAGCGTCCCTAGTTTGTGCTCTTTCAGGCCGGATTGCTCACTTCGCCAACCGACAAACAACGCTTTCTTGAAATTAAATGAATCTTTGATTGATAAAAAGAACTTGTGAGTGACTCTTTTAAAGATAAATTCAATATTTTTGACATCAGTTTCTAAGAAACAACAAGGTAGCTTTCTGTACGAAGACGCTGAACTACGCACGTTGTATGCGTCTAAAATTAAATTTAGATTGTGCAGAGGTCGATATCGAACAGAAATATAATCAAAACAAATTTTTGTTCATGGCTGAATGACGTCAATGGCCATTTAAAAATTTTGAAATGTATCGTTTTAAATTATATTCGATGTTTCAAAGTCAAGTCACGACACTTTAATTTGTCACATTGCCATTCTTGTTCGCGTAGGCAAAACAAGTTTCAAAGAAACGTGAAAAGAATGCTCTTCGAACTTACCAAAGAACCAACATCAAAATTTCTAAGATTTCAATTTTATATTGGATACATGGATACAATATCTTCCTTATCGAGGACACTTTCATAGCGAGTACTTTCAAACTTAGTACTATCTAAGTTGCTTAGGCTTCGATCTACTGAAAATATTTTATCGCGTGTATTCGCGTGCGTTTTACGCATGGCGTATTTGATGTTTAGTTTCTTTCTTTCTCTCTGAGAAATGATATTGCATTTTAGAAATTGTTTTGATGAACTGTGAGTTGGAATCATAACTGCTATTTCCTGTCGAAATTTTTTTATGTCGAATGTGCCCATTTTTTAATGATAACCTCTCCGGGCATTATTCAAACGAGTGTTTAGTTTCCGGCCGGCTGCAATAAGGAATACTTCTTTAAACAGGTCGCATGATGTTTGTGTTTTTAAAGGTCAAACAGTTGGCTTTTTCGTCTTGTTAGAGCTCAGTTTTATCCACCAATAACAAGAGGTTTCAGCTTCAGTGGTTTTACTTGTATTGCAGTTGGATATTTATATCTTATCAGACGTTTTGTTGTGTAGTATCGCTGGGTATTTTTACGAGTTGTGCCGTATTTTAACGAGCCCGTAGGGCGAGTGAAAACACAGACAACGAGTAAAAATACTCAGCGATACTACGCAACAAAACGTTTAATAAAAGATTTATTATCCAGCGGGCCAAATTGTTATTTCAGTGTGGGCGAATTTCGCGGATATTTCGGGAGTACAAATATCGCGTGATATTTATACTCGTCTTGCGCATTATTTGTACTCTACGAAGCACATTTGGATAATAAAGATATATATTTATGCCTGCCACACCTGATGGGTATGTGTACTTTTTCCGTTCTACTCTTTTTTCGTTTTTGATTATTAATAACGATTGCCCTCATTGAATGACAAAGCAAACATTAACAGGTCAAGTGGGATTTATTATATTGCTTAAATCATAGACTCATCCTGAACGATCAATCATTAATCTCATTAGAAAAAACACGATAGTTTTAAAATCTACCTATTTTCATTTAGATATTTTACAACAGACAACGAAACATATTCAGTGATAGAAAGTGGAATGTATGGCCCTCAACAACACTTGAGTCAGCCGCAACAGTGTTCTGAATTGTCAACTTCTAAGGGTCAATATAAGTAATATTTCTCTCAATATTCCTTTTTATGAGATCAAATTCTAACAACTCTTTTAAACCATAACATAATTTAAAAAGCACGGATGGGAAATAGAAAAGGAAAATTCATTTCCCAAGGCAAGTTTTAGATATGTTTTGTCAAGGCAAACGGTTGACGAACAGCTGCAGTCTTGTACTGATTTACGCGTGACGGGTAGAGTTTGACATTTGCCCTGTTAGTTATAATCACTTCGAGTACTACTAAGACGATTACGTCCAATAAGCTCTTAACTGTAAGATGGTGTGACTTGCTCGTGACAAACTCAAAGTATCTTACCTCACATGATGTCTAGAGACCGCCCGTGCCAGAGGCAAACCTGCGTTTTAACTGCCGGTCTGAAAAACGTTTCTTTTTTTCTTCGACTCGACTGGATGTCAACTCAACTCATCAATAATAACCTTTCACACGCGATCGATTACAAACAACTGGAATTTCAGAAACAGGATATGTAGCAAACAAAACTTTCTCAGATGATTAAGGTGTAAAAATTTAAATGAATGTTAATGAATTGTCGTCTTGAGTTATGAAAGACTGTACTCGCTTTTTATAAATTTCCATTTAATCACGAATTTGAATCATTTGGAAATGAAGAGTATCAAGAATGCTTGCGGCCTTAGCAAGATAGCATAGAGCATTCTGATCCTTGTTACAAAGGAACTTTGATCGGTCTAATGTTTCTGTTTACCATCGTGTTTGTCTTTGGGAAATTATTTGTGAAATACTTTTACTTCAAAGGTGTTATATAGTTGAAACTAATTTGTTCTTAAATAAGAAAACATAGACTAACAAGGATTGTACGTGAGAATAGAGTAAACAGCACATTAATTTGTTTCAATTCTTAACATGACGAGTCATCACGCTGATTGTCAAAACTAACTGTGAATGCCTGAGCAATTTCTAAAAGAAACAAACATTTAAATCAGTCGCTACTTACTGTAAAGGAGATCGACTTGAGGGCTGTAGAAACTGGCGGTAAACGTATTACAATCACGTTAAAGCTGATGAAACACAGTTAAAATAATATTTGCTCTTTCGTATGACAGATACCAAACGACCTGCGTCTCGCCCACCTCTGAATGACATAGACTATGAATAACGTCCTGTTTGTAATTTCCTCGGTTCCAGGTCTGCTTATTCGCGTGTCCTGTTAGTTGCGTGAGAATACAATCTGACAAATTCGAAACTCCATGATAAAGATTAAGGTCCTCCTCCGAAAGTCTATAAATCCCATTAGAAGTTTCCATAGCGACAGAATTGTATGAATTTACTTGAACCCAAAAAGGTGATTTTGGTGAAAGAGAATTTCTTGCCCACCTCTGAATGACATAGACTATGAATAACGTCCGGTTTGTAATTTCCTCGGTTCCAGGTCTGCTTATTCGCGTGTCCTGTTAGTTGCGTGAGAATACAATCTGACAAATTCGAAACTCCACGATAAAGATTAAGAAGTACTTTACCCTACAACAATTGCAAGGCAAATCGGCCTTGATGCTTGACTGTAAAAGCACGACATGCCGTGACAATGACCGGAAAGCGAAGCTTTCCGTGCGAGGCACGAGGTTACTGAGGTTGAGTAGGAAACCCACAGTAGTATTAGTCAATGTGGTTTACATCAATTCGCGGATAGGATTTCACAGACACTTCGCGTGTTCAAATTGATTGACTTCCCAGAAACAAAGTTTCGTTGCTCTGCAATTGTGGTGTGAATTTAGAGGAAAGAGTAGGCGAGATAGATATAGTGAGTCCTATTTTCTGATTGGTCTCCCGAGCGGGCAAGATGGGCCTATCTTTCCGCTCGGGATTGTTCGTTTTGATCCCGCGCAAGGAAGAAAAAAAATACTGCATATTCAATCACTGCCGCCCTGACATAATATATAAGCGTAATGATTCAGCTTATATTATGTCAACTTTGTACCAAAGAAACCAACAACAGATCAGCGAAGAGAGGATGAAAGATATCATTCAAAGCTAGACGTCACTTTTAGACTTGGATTTTGAAAATCAAGTTATATTAATTAGTCACTTAACCATTTTATTTCGCCGTAATTCTTGACATTCTCCCATCATTTTTGTAAACCTTTCAAATCACTTTACTTTCAACTCGTCTAATGAAAAATCAAGTACACGCCACGTGCACCACAGCTGGCTCTTTTTCCCAGCGCCCGAAAACAAATAAGTCCTTATGAATTCTTATCAGAGCGAAATCTTTTTGCTGTAATTAAATCCTTTATTGACCGAGCTTGTTCGATCAAGATGGCTGGATATCAGCCTCGTTCTTTTTTTTTTTTTTCTGCATCTTTTCTTACCTCGATTTCTGTTTACTACACTACGAGGGTGTGAATATAACCGCCGCCCAATTAGCCCAATGAATAGTGCGCTGGACTGTTGTGCGGGAGGTCGAGGGTTCGAGCTCCGGCCGGACTAACACTCAAAGTCTTAAAATAATTGAGAAGAATTTGCTACCTTTCTATAATATCAAGAAATGGTTAGATATTGTAGTCTTCTCGGATAGGGACGAATAAATGGAGGTCCCTTCTCCTGCAGGGTTGGGGGTAGGAGACGTTAATTTCCCACACACGAGATTACTGCGTGATGGATGTCCTTCCCTGGGGTGGGATGGGT